TATTGTGCATGTTTTTAGTGGTAGGGGAAACCGGAGCACCCGGAGGAAACCGGAGCAGACACGGGGAGAACATGCAAACTCCACTCAGAAAGGCCCTGGTCCGACCGGGATTCAAACCCAGGACCTTCTTGTGTATTTTTAGTCCTGTTTATGGAAAAATGGCTGTACTAATCTGGAACTCATTATCACCATACAAGCGCTGGTCCAAAATGAAGAAGAGAGCCAGCTCAAGCCCCATGTATATTTCAGCATTATATTATAGTAACTCCTGTATTGCATTGTGCCTGTGCAGCACTTTTCATTGTGCCCTATGAGATTTATACTAGCATTGTTTATTCTTCTCTCTGTAGCTGTCTGAATTATTTACAAAGGATGAGTGGCTGAGAGGAGTGGTGATGATTAGGGAGTGATATAGAAGACCACAAAATCTCGGTCCTTTCCTTCACAATGTGCTTAGCAGACACATTTGCATTTATTCAGACTAAATTATTGCATAGTGTGGCATCAATTCAGCAATAATGCAATACAATGTGTGACTGTGCCCAAGATGACTGATAGCTGTGGCATGTACTGTATAATATAATTAAAGTATTTAAAAAAGGACAGAGGCAAGATGGTGTACCCGGAGCTAGCATTACATATCTTTCCCCCACAAAATTATGTTTGTTTGTCATAGCACAAGATAAGATGAAAACAAAATGGTTACGCAGAACTATAGATTTTTGGGGTTTTTATTCAGAATTTTTGCATTTTATATTGTATCTCGTCAAACCACAGCTTTTCTTGAAAACAGTAGATTATGTGTCAATCTATGACAGCACCATCACATATCACCAAACATGTTTATTATTGTAAAATGGGGAACACAGCTTTTTTTTAAATATGAACAAGAAATCAAATGACAAGACTTGCATCAACAGAAAACGGGTGAATTATTCACACCTCTGAAAGGCAGATAATGTCAGATCTCTGAAACAGGGCAGGGCCTGGACTTAGACCACTGGGAACACCAGGTGCCACAGTGGGGCGACTGCGGCTGTAAAGTGCTATTGTTGTGGACTCTTGTAAACTATTGTTGCAGATGCCACTTATTGGTATCCCTGCGTCTGTCAATCTGCCCCAGGGCAGCTGTGGAAGTTTATCACCACTGAGAACAGAGTGAATGAATAACATTATGTAATAATAATAATAATAATAATGCATTGGTTTTATGTAGCGCTTTGTTGGACACTCAAAGACGCTTTACATGTCATTATTCTTTCACTCCATACACAGTGGTGATAAACTACTACTGTAGCCACAGTCTAAGACACTTTGGGGAAAGTGTCTTTAGCCCTACTCGCACGAGATTAGTATTACCTGTGGACCCCTGGTAATTTGTGAAAATCACGGAGGACGTCTGAGATCTTACAGTGCATTCATGTAAATAACTATATTTTCACTGACATCTCACATAACGACCCGCACGTTCGCGAGTTACTCCGCTTCACGCAGCCCATAAAGTCTGGCGTCTGACCACAGCAGCCACAGAGACCATAAGGAGAAACACATACATGTGGATTTTACTGCTCTACAGTTCTCTGGCCCGTACTGTCTGCAATGTTTAACAATACTGTTTGTTAGTACTACCCATGAATGCATCAGATACTAACGTGCGAGCCGACAAGCAGCATGTAATTTAGCAGCATGTTCCTAGAATAAATAATAGAGTGAGACCAAAGCGAGGTTCTAAATGCTGCAGATAATAGGAATCATCTCATTCTGATAACCCTGTACGCCTGATATCCTCTGAACTGCAGTGATTCGATCACAGACAGGAGTGGACAGAGTGATTATTGACGTTACTCATAGCGTTTGGCTTATCCCGGAAGACGTTTACTTAGCTCCATAGGTCGCCATATGGGGCAGCCTTCTTTCATTGAAACCGGTTAACCGCGTATTTTAAAATATTCCACGTTCTTTGAAATAACAGCCATTTCGAGCCGCGTACTTCTCAAAAGTGCAGCTCTGCGTTCTACTGGATCAGAGCAGAGACAGCGCCGCCAAAACCCGCAACAGCTTCGGCACCTTTGCGCACAGAGAACTGCTTTTATAATCTTCCAATTCTTCTGTGCTGCGGGTTAAAACCAAAACTTAACAGCAAACAACGGCTCGTCCACATGGTCAGAGCAGCGAGTGACGCGTCGCGTCTCGCAGGTCTCTGCTTAAGTTTCAATACAAGTGAGAGCTGATCTAATGCCTAAGACCATAAACACAAACATGTTCCATGTGGTTGGCCTGGAGCCGCGTATTTGCGCGAATCCTTTGGGCTCCGTGACACAGAGGAGCGCGACAGACCGGTATGTGTGTGTGTACAATACATGTATGCGTGTGTGTAAATGTAAGCTCCGATGTAGTTTTGACCCGCGCCAGTGTGCAACTTTGACGGTAACAGAGGGGAGAGATGATGCTTGGGAATGTTACGTATGGAGAGGGGGAAAGTGTGTGTATGTGTGTGTGTGCGCGCACGTGCAAGTGTGCGTGCATATGTGACGCGTGCGGCATGAGAGTCGGCCCAGAGTACATTGGCGCACACAGCTAGAGATGGACCCGCTCGTCACACCGTGCAAATAGGGCTTAAAATAGCGTTATTAAGAGACCTCCCCTCTCCTTTTTCTTAACCGACAGCTTTGACCGGTTAACGCTGTGACGATCAACCACCGGTTAAACGGTCACCGATTTACATCCCTATTATCAATGCTTCAATTATGCACATAATCCAAACAACAATTGTGATTATTAACAATGGCACATTCTAAATGGACTTTTTCACACTAAAGGGTACAAAAGTGTGAAAAAATGCCAAAAATGTGATTTTAATAATCAAAAGATATATTATGTATTTCAATTAGCCAAAAACCTCCTCTGCCCATTAGTAGCAAGTCCCGTTGATCCAAGATGGCGCCCTATTCAAATGAATGGCTTGTGCTCAGTAGCGCATGGGACTTCACGTAGACCGAAAGATTAGCGAAACTCGCCTATATTTGGGCATCGTCTGGTCCTCCCCGTTCTGCGCAGTTGACGAGCTCCCATGATGCATTGCGCCAAATACGCATGTGTGGCTCTCATGCAGGTGCACAGAGGGGCTCGGCCGCGCTGACCAGAGCAGCGGTAGAGCGGAGCCAGAGCGGGAAGAAAGCAAGCTGAGTTTGTGGCAGTAAAGTGTGGATTTAAAGAAAATCGAAGGATTTAAGAAGAAAAAAGTTCAGGATGACAAGGGACACTAAAAACCCCACAAAATAATAATAATAAGCCGTTATTATTGTTTTCATCTCGATGCCCCGGCCTCCACCGTTTTACCAATCAGAAAGTCCGTGATCCGAGTTGCCAGAACGCATCAAGCTAATCTCACAGGTAAAGTAATGATAATAATAATGCATCTGTTTTATATATAGCTTTTTGGACACTCTTTGGAAACTCTTCATTCAGATATTATGTTCCCAGCTGGATTTGTCAGCATATCTGGCAACCTGAGTCAGGGAAAGTGCAGTACCACTTTTGGCCAGATATTTTACATACTGCTCCTTTAAATTGATTCCTTTTTAAATGTAGTGATTTACTTATGTTGTGTTAGCCATGTTAATCTTGTGGGAGTTCCTCTACTGCTTTGTCACTGACCTTTTATTTTATATGTAACTGGCGTCACAGTAGAATTATCAAATCAGAGGCTGGTCTCCATTTATATAGTTTTGCTTTTGATTTTGTCCACATTATCTCTAGGATATGTCTGTGTTTGAAATCTTTTTTTATAATCTATGATAGTAATTTCAGTATTTGAGTTATAACCAGATACTATAATTGACACTTTACTGTGAACACACCCCAATTCTTTCGCCTCCTTTCAGTGGCATGCAAACATGGTGTTAATCTCAGAAGTCTTCAAAAATGTATTTGTTACCGTCATCTTGTAGTCTTTAGTTTCCAGTTATATATTTTTGGGACATGTAAACACTGATTCAGAGTTAATTTTCTGTAATTAATAATAAAAATACACACTTTCAATCCACAAAAACTACACACAGACGCTAATTGCTTTGGTCTGGTTGGGGAAAGAAGCAATAAAACACCGCCTCACCGCATAAAACCTGCACAAGCAATTACTACTGTTACAAGACCCCAGAGATGAACACTCCATAAAGTCAGAGAGGGTTTCCTATAGAATAATAACCACTGGTCAATGGTGGAATGCACTCATTTGATAACATATATGCCTGTTCATTGGAAACAGGTTGCTAGGGAACAACTGGGTTCAAGTTAATAACCCATTAGCTTGTGACAACGCAATCTGTGTAAAAAAAAGATTTGCGATGCTGGGAGTGTGACACGTACTGTGTGTTGACAGAGATGCTCTTTGGATGTGTTCCATTCCCAGAGTTTTAGTCCCTTTAAACAATATTTATCACCGTCTTCAGTATGCATAATAGTAAAGGGTTGCTATTTGTATGTATCTTGTGTATTCAAGATAAGACTCCAGTAGTTTAAAGAAGTAAACACAATTATGGCATGCATGATTATTGACACATGCATTTTTAAAAAGGAAACTTGTTTTAGATTATTCTGTTTCTACTGATGTGTTCTAATTCTACTGATTTATTGGTAAATTGGTTTTGCCCCAAAAATCCTCCTGTTTATCACATATTCAAAAGTTGTTACCATCATTAGTTAAAGATGGTAACAAACAATGCTAACAGCTAACATTGTTTCTTTTGTAAAACAAATGAAAATATTTACATTTGGTTTATCTGAAGTTGCCTGAATGATGATTATTGGCTCAATACATAACATTGTAGAGGTCCTGTAGAGAACACATACAAACAACTGCATTAAACAAATTTAAAAGTAGCGGTAGTAGAAGTAGAAGTTATTTTTACATTCAAATGTCTTAAAAGTAGAATGTAGTACGGATGCGTTCTGATTGTCAGGCGTCCCAGCGGGCCCCGTACCCCATATTCTTTACTCACAGTTCTCCTTGCGCGTGTCCCGCTTCAGACCGCAACTGTCGTCTTCCTCACTCCTCACTTCTCCCCCGGCCGATGTGCCTGTGGACAAACAGACGGACCTGTCAGTACAACACCAGCAGCAGTTGGCAGACGGTTAGACAAATGCAGGCCCAATCGGGAATGCAGAAGAAGATGGAACGGCTCAAACACTGGGGAAAGAATGCCGGGATATCATATTTAACCTCCCAAAAATAGTGGAGAGGGGGAACATCCTAAAAACTACAATGGTTCTACACTTGCATCAGCCTGACGCAGTGAGTCACCCCGTCACAGGAGTTTATGTGTGTTCTGGGAAGAGAGAACAAGCAGCATTATATATGAAGAGTTCACCAGTCAGGTAGAAATAAGGATGACTTAAGAGAAACTACAAAATTAGTAGTAGATTAGTTAGTAGTAGTTAGAGTAGTAGTTCATAATGTGAAATATATACCGTAAATTCCGGACTATGAGCCGCAGCTTCTTTCCTGTACTTTGAACTTATACTAAGGTGGAGCTTACTTTCCTTTTTTTTCCTGTGGTACCAAAAACATTTTCCCAAGTAACAATAGACCAACTGAATTCATGAATAGTTCAGAGATCCAATTAAAAATTATGATATGTCAGTCATTTGTACTCACTCATGGTGCCCCAACACAAAATGTAGGTTCACCCACATTTTACATTATGTCACTTTTCACTTTTATCGCTTCCTCTCCTTTCAAATGTTAATTATTTTGAACAATTCTGTGTAGAGCTCGTCTTTATTTGAAAGATAATAAAATTGAATGTACAGTGGAATTCATACAATATACAAAAAATGTAAAGAGCTTAAAAAGAGCATATATTAACACATTTAAAACTAGAAGTTTTATTAATATAAATACAAACAAAAGCAGTACGAGCTTAAAATGCTTCAATGAACTGAAACGTAAGAAAATGTCAGAAAAGTAATATAAAATAAAAGCCCCTTTACCATTTTCTCTTACAATGGTTAATGAGTCTACAAGAGGAGATGGCATGTCTCAAGAGTTCCTGTGATCTTCCTAATGCGCTCCATATGTCAACTGTTGAAACTCGCAACGCTGCACAGGCTCTTCAGCAGCGATTAGCCTGTTCCTGCACCTCAGAGGACAATTTTACACTGCCACAGCAAAATCACACATAAAGGTGTTTTAGCATGGGTGAAGAAAAGATAGAAAATGATCTCCCTGCTTTTTCTCACCAATGCTGAGATGCTGCTTGCTGGTGCGGAGAGAAAAGACTTGAGGTGACGCAAACATGACTGGACTGGAGTTGTGGGAAAAGAGCAGATGCCCAATCTGCCCGATCCAGCTGTGTGACATGTGATCACCGTGGGACACAGCGAACTGTCCATGGCACATTAGTATCAGTCCAAGTATTTACAGTGAGGGACAAGAATGCTGTTTAGGAATGATGTATAGAACCAAAACATTCAGTGCCTTGTGAAAGTATTCGGCCCCCTTGAACCTTTCAACATTTTTCCACATTTCAGTCTTCAAACATAAAGATATAAAAACATTATTTTTTGTCATGAATCAACAACAAATGGGACACAATCGTGAAGTGGAACGAAATTTATTGGATAATTTAAACTTAAAAAAAAAAATAAAAAACTGAAAAGTGGGGCTTACAATAATATTCGGCCCCTTTACTTTCAGTGCAGCAAACTCACTCCAGAAGTTCAGTGAGGATCTTTGAATGATCCAATGTTGTCCTAAATGACTGATGATGATAAATAGAATGCACCGGTGTGTAATCAAGTCTCCGTATAAATGCACCTGCTCTTTGATAGTCTCAGGGTTCTGTTTAAAGTGCAGAGAGAACCATGAAGACAAAGGAACACACCCGGCAGGTCCGAGATACTGTTGTGGAGAAGTTTAAAGCCGGATTTGGATACAAAAAGATTTCCCAACCTTTAAACATCTCAAGGAGCACTGTGCAAGCAATTATATTGAAATGGAAGGAGTATCAGACCACTGCAAATCTACCAAGACCCGGCCGTCCCTCCAAACTTTCATCTCAAACAAGGAGAAGACTGATCAGAGATGCAGCCAAGAGGCCCATGATCACTCTGGATGAACTGCAGATAACTCCAGCTGAGGTGGGAGAGTCTGTCCATAGAACAACAATCAGTCGTGCACTGCACAAATCTGGCCTTTATGGAAGAGTGGCCATTTCTCAAAGATATCCATAAAAAGTCTGGTTTAAAGTTTGCCACAAGCCACCTGGGAGACACACCATACATGTGGAAGAAGGTGCTCTGGTCAGATGAAACCAAAATCAAACTTTTTGGCCACAATGCAAAACGATATGTTTGGCGTAAAAGCAACACAGCTCACACCATCCCCACCTCAGCTGTAGTTATCTGCAGTTCATCCAAAGTGATCATGGGCCTCTTGGCTGCATCTCTGCTCAGTCTTCTCCTTGTTTGAGATGAAAGTTTATCATCAGTCATTTAGAACAACATTGGATCATTCAAAGATCCTCACTGAACTTCTGGAGTGAGTTTGCTGCACTGAAAGTAAAGGGGACGAATAATATTGCAAGCCCCACCTTTCAGTTTTTTATTTGTTAAAAAAGTTTAAATTATCCAATAAATTTCATTCCACTTCACGATTGTGTCCCACTTGTTGTTGATTCATGACAAAAAAATAAAATTTTATATCTTTATGTTTGAAGACTGAAATGTGGCGAAATGTTGAAAGGGTCAAGGGGGCCGAATACTTTTGCAAGGCACTGTACCAACCTGAATCAGAGTCAACCTATTCTTGAAATACATTCACAGTAACACAGAGTATAGGGACTATTCAAACAAACTGTTAAAGTGTATTGTCCAATCCTTGCATCTTCTACATGTTGAACTTATTTCTTGTTGTTCACTTCAGTGAAATTAAGACATAACTTGTTTACAATTTAATGTGCTGGAAACAACAGCAAGTCCTAAGTAGTTCTGAGACGGTTGTTGTTTTGTGCTTCACAATTCTCATGTTTCTTGCTTTTTTACTTGAGATGTGCTGCAGAACAGTGTTCATGGTTTTGCACTGGTCCAGACCAGAGCATAGAGGATTCATGATCCGAAACAAGCGGATCAGGCGAAAATCCACTGGAGGAAGGCAAACTTTTAGAAAAATGCCAATGAAGATTTCAGCATTTTACTTTGGACCAGAGCAGAGAAAATGGTCCGAACCAAGCGGCTACTCATCTCTGCTGCTGTGACCTGAAGGGCTGTTGCATTTTATTATAACTGTTGTTTTATTTATTTATAATATATATATATATATATATATATATATATATATATTTTAATATATATATTAATATATATTAATATATATCAGGGGTGGCCAACCCGCGGCTCGTGAGCCGCATGCGGCTCTTTGGCTGGTTCCGTGCGGCTCTCGGGCTTTCACACGACAAGCGTCAAAAACGCCTCGGTGGTGGCGCTGCCATTCATTCTCTATGTAGTTCTGACCCATAGTAAAGGCCGACTTCACTCCACTAGCCAGGCCACCAAAACAATCTGACGTCGGCGAACGTCAATTCTGATTGGTCAGATGCGCTGTCAATCACTCTGCAGCTGCTGCCTCAGCTGTTGCAAATATCATAACAAACAACACGTTGCCTCGATCCATGACGTCCGTACGGATGAGGGCAACACCTTCCTCAGTTTGAGGAGAGGACACCAGCGTGAGCTCGATGGTTCCACCAGAAACCAGAAGGTGTTTGTGGAGCTAGCACTAAGGACCAGAATGCAGAAGCATTGGAGCAGAATGATTCCCACAAACATGACAATGCAGAGAAAAGTTAAAAAGCTTAAAAGTGACAACCGTGAAATGAAAGATCGCAGCAGCAGAAGTAGAGGCAGACCCGAAAAGTCTGGAGGTGGTTTGACCAAATGGATTACATTTACGGACATCGGCTAACACCGGCTAACATGCTAAAACCAGCTAACACCAGCTAGCGTTACACCAGGAGATAAGCCAACTCTGCCTGGTGAGTGTCTGTCTTCAATCAAATGCAAAAGTATCTGGTCTTATACTGAACATGTGCTAAAGTGGTGTTGGTGTTATGTGTCACATCTATATCTTTTATTAAACGCAGTCAGAGTGAATCATGGTTCGATAAAGACAGTTGTGTTTCTGCTGAACACTGGGTTGAAACTTCATTTTTTTTCTTGGTTAGAGATTGAAAGCATTCATTTCGGAATCATAATTGATGTTCGCTGACGTGAAATTGTTCTGGTATCACCTCGCCCGGTTAGAACCAGGGCCAAACCATTAATAAAAAGTACCGGGGAGCGGTTGAAGCGAGCGGTAGAAGGAGACCCGCAAACCAGGGAGAGTCGAGCCCAGCCCTTTAGTACTGTACGAGTCAATTTCTGTCATTATCATGTTGATGACATTCACAATAAATCTGTCTGAGCAGAGCACACCTCTCTCTGCTCAGACAGATTGCATGTGTGTGCCTGTGTGTGCCTGTGTGTGCGCGTACGTGTGTAAGGGTTGGGGTGATGTTTATGTAGTGCACATTTGTATGATGTGGCTCTTTGCTGTGACACAGTAAAAAATTAATATATATATATATAAATAATATATATAAATATATAGTGCTGTCCAAAATATCGCGTTATTAACGCAAATCAATATTAACGGCGTCATTTTTTTTATCGCGCAATTAATTTTTTTTTTTTTTTTTACTTTTTATTTTAGACAAATACATATACAGAAAAAAAATAGAAACGAAGAAAAGGACTAGTTCAGATACATTGTAGACAGAGATTACAAACAATATGTAGTTGGAGATACAGGGGGCCAAAGAAGAAACCCAGAAGGGCACATAGGAGAAGTGTTGTGCGTGAACGAGTTCAAAAGAACGCGTTCATTGAACACGCTCATTTTTTTGTGAACATTGAACTGAACGCAACACATTTTTAAAAAAAGAACTTGAACGTGAATTAGTTCATTTTATGTGTCATGAACGGCAGACATCACTATGAACGTTGGAATCTGTTTTCTCTTTTAAAACGCAACGAGAGAAAG